CTGCTTAGGTCCCTTCTGACCCTACAAACTATGAAACTATGTTAAATGTGAAGGTCTATGGAAGATTTTATCAAAGTTTGGCTTCCCACAGAAATTTATCACCATCCTAAGACTCTTTCATGACCAGATGACTGCCCCCATCCTGTGCAGTGGCTCCACTATGGAGCCCTTTGCCATTTGAACTGTCATCAAGCAAGGCTGTGTGATTGCACCAGTTACATTTTCCATCTTTCTTGCAGTCATCAAGATGCTCATCTGTGACCGTCTGACCCATGGCATTGGCATCGAGTACAGGATGGATGGGAACCTTTTCAATCTCTCCCATCTCTGTGCTAAAACAAAAGTTACTTTGGCATTGTGGATCTTCAGTATGCTGAAAATTGTGTTGTTGTTGCACATGCAGAGGAAGACCTACAAACAGCCCTTAACTGCTTCTGTCAGTCATACCAGTGTCTGGGACTGACCCTTTACATTGGAAAAATAAAGGTGCTTCACCAGCCTGCTCCAGACCAATCAGCTTCCCTGGCAAATCTTCATTGATGGACAGGAGATGGAGAATGTTGAACAGTTTGCATACCTCAACAGCCATCTCTCAAAGAAGGCCAACATCAACGAGGAGATCCAGTATAGAATCCCATGTACCAGCTCTGACTTTGGAAGGCTGTATCATCATATGTTCAGCAATCGCAACATCAGACTTGAACAAAACTTCTACTGTATAAGGCTGTGGTAATCCCAACTCTTCCCTGTGGCTGTGAAGCTTGAGTGACCTACAGGGACCACCTGAAAAGCCTGGAACACCATAACCTGTGCTACCTCCAAAAGATTCTTGGCATAAAGTGAGAGGATCGTTGCACAAATGCCAGTGTCCTCACCAATGCGAACACCACCAGTATGGAAGCATTGATTATTCAACATCAGCTGCAGTAGACAAGGCACTGTGTGCACATGCCAAATGTACATTTACCAGAACAACTGCTATACTCCCAACTCAGTAAAGGACAAAGGACACACAGGGGCAGCGGAAATGCTTCAAGTATACCCTCAAGGCAAACATTAAGAAATGTGGTATTGACACCACAAAATTGGGAAGAACTAACCTGGGACAAGGCTACATGATGATGCCCTGTGAGAGAAGGCACATCTTTTTTTGTGGAAAACCATCTCGCCATGGAGGAAACAGAAAAACAACAGCAACAGAAGTAAAGGAAACAAGACCAAGAAATCCATGGTCTGATCCTCCCTTTAACCACAACCTGTGGCATTTGCCAGAGAGTCTGTGGCTCTAGGATTGGTGGTCTTAGTGATCAATTTACTCATTTACAGCCCTTTACTTGACCCATGGGAATGATCATCCTTGACTGTGAGGGATCACTGCCACTGCCAACCAGTGGATTCACTCTTTTCAAAGAGATGTAACTTGTATTTTGCTCTAAAGGCTGATAGACTGGTATATACCTTAGTCATTCGTAGTAGATTGTTCCACAGCCTAATGACTTCTGCTGAAGATCTCTGACTCTTGAAAGAGTCATTCTTGGTTTACCCATGTTTTCTTCATAGAGTAAAGTATTCTTGGATAATGTATAGAGACATGGTCCCCAAGTAAGCCAGGCCTGTCACATGCATGGCACTGTAATCCTTTCTCTGTTCTAACTGATGCTAGAGGTATATTTTTTAAATTAATCTAGAAGCTCGGTATATAATTGGATATAAAATTATTGTTTGTCCATTGCACTATTTTTCTGCTTTTTGTACCTTTTTACAATGCTACGTAGTAATATTCTTGGACAGCTGTATGGAGTGTTAAATTAGCATGTAATATTCTTGGACAACTGAATTTTATGGAGTGTTAAATTAGCATGTATGAAGATAAGAAATCCATGCTTGTGGAATTATGCATCAGCAATATGTTTTGATGAAGACCCATTGTCTATTGATACTGTTAAGGCCTTTGCTAATTTTTTTCATGTTGATTGTGGTCATTGGTTTTGAAGATGGTATAATTTTGGGAGTTTGGATATGGTGACCTTGAACCTTTAGAGGCTGACAGTGTAAGTGGATATTGGGAGAAAAAAAGAGAACACTATTGTGTCCTGTGATAAGGCAAAGAGAGAGTAAATAGTATTAGGGAAACATGTGAATGTTGCCTATTGTTTAGTGAAATATAAGGTCAAGAGCAATGGAAAATTATGGGTAAAAAGCAATATTTCTATCACTAGCAAAGGATATTTACAATGAGTGTATTACAACAGCTGTTTACATTCTGCCTGGATTGTATATTAATTGAAGGAAGGACTCTATGTACATCTTGGCAGTTGTATCCCATTTTTAGTGTTCCAAGCCAGAGGAAACACCTGCTGCTTTGAGCGTAGGCTTGGTGAAAGACCACACAAGGTCCATGGCAGTTCTTAGCAGCAAGGATGTACTGTAATACAGTGGCTGTTTAAATATCTATCACGTTATTGTCTCTCCAGGGGTGTATGCTTACTTCAGATTACAATTTTACCTTGCTATCCCTATAACTATAGCATTTAAATATATTTCTCAGTAATTATGATAAATGACAGATTATGCTGAGCAAAGTCTTAAAAATCAGTATTACTGGAGAATATCCTGTGACACTGATGGGTGTCCCTCTGGATAACTGAAACAAAATATATAATCTTTGATGTTTGGGAAATACTTTGGCAGTGCAACTAGATATCAAAGTCATTATGATGACATGCTGGAGTGGAAAATTTTAAGAACAAACCAACCAACAGAAAAAAAAATGCAGTTTCAGAGATGCCCATTTATCTGTATTATCTTTCTGAGGATAAAGTGCAGTATATTACACTGATGGTGAAACATACAGATGTTCTAATACCTTCTTTTTTCTCTTTAAATTTTCTTTCACCTCCCTGGACCTTCTATCACTGATAGCAGAGTAGCTGTCCATAAACAAATAAACCCTAAAAGCCAACTTGAATGTGAAATCATAAAACTCATACATAGACTGTATTGTTTTAACTTGGCCTCAACAAAGACTCTAGGTTCTTATCTCTCATATTTTGTATTGAAGGGTAGTAGCAGAAGAGAAGGAGAGTACACCGGGAACTGTCTGAGTCGTCAAAACTCTCTGAATCTTTTCTCAAGATTTGGAGAGCTTTGAATTGATTTGGACCTTTTAATTGGTCCCTTGATTCAGTTTGGATTCAGAGATTCAGCCACTGAATTGGGCTGTATCTCCTCTGAATCGAATCGCCACTTGAAGCTTTGCACAGCCCTACAGTATATCCTTTTGAAAAAAGGGCCCAGAAGCTATTAATTAAAATTTTCTGAATGGCTTTTTGTTTAGGCCACAGCAATTTACAGAATCTGATTCTGAGATCCAATTATTGTGGTTAGATTGTCTCGACCATTTAAAAGGGATAGCTTTTCCTGACGATAAGAGTGGACATGTGAGGAACAGCCACCATTGTTTATCTAACATGGAAACAACTTCCTGTGTCTGTTTTTTTTTAAACCCCCCTGACCGTAATGTCTAAACTCGAGAAAGGAGATGAGAGTTCATACTGTTAAAATGATTGTTGGCAAACTTGCTTTATTTTTTTTATGTTTTAGAGCCAAAGGATGAGCTGTGGATTGGACTGAATGACAATAAGGTTCAAATGTATTTTGAATGGAGTGATGGCAGTCCTGTGACATACACTAAATGGTTGCGTGGAGAACCAACCCATGCAAATAATAGGCAAGAAGATTGTGTTGTCATGAAAGGAAAGGTAAAGTTATAGCTGTCACAGTCTTCTCACATTAACTTTTTTATACCTTTTTTGCTCAGGAGAATGGGAGTTGGGAATATTACTGTATGAAGTAACTTTTGCTGATCCAAAGATTTGTAGATTTCATCTTTTGGAGGAACCTTAATCTCTTCAAAGCTGCTAGGACCAAAAAAGTAAGGGAGGTGGGTGGCTCAACGCAGGAGCACCCCCTACTGGCCCGCGTCACGTGGTGGAAACAGCAGAGGGATACGAATACCCAGCTGTGTTCCTGAGGTGGGATCTCTGCACCCACCACAGATCCTACCTCTTGGGCCTTTTGGTTAGCTATATTGCATGAATTTATTGTAAGAGCTTAATTGAATGTGCATTCTACATTTGTATATATGAGATAAAGGATTCATTGTCTTAACAAAAGCCTCTGTTGATTATGTAGGTGCCATCGTCAGATTGTTTTCAAAAGGATTGTTTACTGGCCCACACCTGAAAAAATGTGGTGTGGTTGATACAGTGATAGACATGGTCAGCATATAATAGCAGCTTAGATAAGGGTCTGATAAGAGTCAGTAATGAGACAGATGCCTGATGTTGGAAGAAAGTATTTTTCTAGAACTGTGATCATGTGAAAAAATGTACTCCTCTCCAATGGCATTTCTCAGCTATTTTATCAAGGAAAGGAAAGGGTGGTGGTGGGGAACCCCTTAGAACCCAATATGCTGAGCTCACTCAAAAATCTAGGCAGTTATTCTGGAGATTGTGGGAGCTTACCTTTCTCTGGAAAAAAAATTATCACATTTTGTAATTGTAGGTTGTGGCAGAGCACAGGTTGTGCTTGTCACTTTCCAGGGTTTGAACAAGCAGGAAGCAGCCTGCATGTAGGAGAAGAACCAGTCAAGCAGTTACATGGTAGTTAGGAGGTCGCCTGATTGGTGGAGATGTTGGGGAGCCTGGGTATAAGGCTAGGTCCTCAGACCAGGGCTGGCAGTTGCTGCAGGGAGCCAAAGGAATGACATTGTCCAGTGAGAAATATGCTGCTCCCAGAACAGTCTGAAGGACAGATTAGGGACTATGGAGGTGGAGGAGTTTCCTGGTCCTGCGGTATGACCTGAAACTGTACCTTGCTGGGGTTGGATGGTGTGGTGGAGCTGCCTGTGGCAGGGCAGTCTCCAGGAAATGCCATACCTGTGCCTCCCCAGTGAAATGTGAGTATGGGGTGCTGGAAAGCCTCAGCCTCTGCTGCCTTGCAGGTGACCTCGTGGAGGGGAAAGGCTAGGGGAACACACCCCAACAGATAAGCAAAGAGCCAAGGCCCACTGAGGAGGGCCTGATTTGGGGTCCAGGCCAAGAGAAGGCGGCCTGAGACAGGGCCCACTGAGTGAGGCCTGAGGTTTAGAGGGCATAAGGCCCCAATGCCCCAGTGAATGAGCAGCCTCCCACCCAGGAACAACTTTAGTTACAACAAAGGCATGGCAAGCAATCCAGGTGGGTGGGCCAATGTAATGACTGACCCCGGGACAGCCCCCTGTTACACAGATGCTGAGCTATTTGTTTAAATTTGGTCCATAAAAACAGGTTGAACAGCCACAGCTCCCATCATTCAGAGGAAACTGCTGTTTCTGCACCTCTCAGGATCAGGCCATACCTGATCACAACTGAAACAAGTCAGAAGTTGGATTGATCCTATCTGCACTCTTCTTGAGGTCTGCCTATTTAGCAAATGATTTATAAGGCCACATCACCAAAATTCAGGTTGTTTTGTCATTGACGTAAATGGATTGGGTTCCATTATTTGTTTTTATTTACACATGATCTAAAACAGCCCCTTTCCTTTAAAAATTAAAAATAGAAGCAACCAGTGGAAGCAAAGATAAATACAGCAGCTTCTGAAAAAGATTGGCCCATTTTAATTATTGCATTCAAGACAGATATTTCATAGCAAATTTTTTGAATATGGCTTTTTATACCATATTTTAACTTTGTTATGAACCATTTTATTTCTGACTTGGCATATTTTCTTCTTGTTTTCATTGTGGAGGAGAGTTTCCATTGCATATTTCTTTCTTTTAATGGCCTTTACTAGTGTTGACAAAATATAAATTGAAGAAATGAAATGCTTTTTGGTAACTAAGGGAATTGAGAACTTCCTTAAATGTAAGCGCTTCATAAGTAAGCATAAAAAATGAAGGTGATAATACACACCTAACTCTGTTATACTTGGAGCTGTACTTCTGCAAATTGCAATGCTTGCCAATAGGCTGGACATCTGGCTTGCATCTCTGGCCTTTTTAGCAGTAACCTGTTTCTTACATGTCTTTTACAGAAGCAGACTTCAGCAAGTATTAATTATGACAGGGAATTTCATGCATCAGGCATGGCAGATGACTGATACTGTTGAGTCCTTTCTGGATATTATTCTACTTCACCACTTTTCAAGATGGTATTTCAGTTGGAGGTTTGCCATAGGCTCATTGGCCCTTTTGAGCTCCCCACATGGGATGAAAGTGGTACTCCAAATGGATCTAACTTGTGGTGATCATTTAATGCAGGAGGAGGAAATAGGAAAACAGTTAAATTTAATGCAGAAGCTTTAAATAAATAATGGATCTAGGTTTTTCTTTCTGTATAACTACAACAAATAAATATTCATTAAATTAAACATCAAAGATCTAATGAGTAGAAATCCCCCTTAATTTCTATGCTTTTTCTCCTTCTGCCATTTTGCAGGATGGGTATTGGGCAGATCATGCATGTGAAAAAAAACTTGGATACATTTGTAAAAGGAAACCTTTGGGAGAAGCTCCAAAGGAAGAGGAGATTGTTGAAGAAGGCTGCCAGAGAGTAAGTACAAAATAAGTTATGGGAGTTGAATACACACAGCCTTATTGAAAGATCAAATGTAAACCCAGTTATTGTGGGTGGTAGAAGTGATTAACCAAAAATAGATCTGTATTGCCATTACTAGAGCCATATGGCCTTTTCAACGTCCGTGACTTGTGAAGGAAGTTGTGCTGTATCAAACAGATTGAGGTTCTAGCTTCCCTTTCATATTTGAGCCATGCTCCTGTTTGAATTCCCCAAACCTGTTGCCCTTGTAGCTAACCATTAGGCTTTCTGACCTGAAATTAAGCTATTTTAGGGGATTTAGCTGGCCTATCCAGAGTTTCTGTTGGTCCAACTGCTTCAGCAAGGGCTACCAGTGGTGGTGGAGCTTGGAATGGTGATATTTTTCTTTTGCCAGAGATCTAGATTTGCTATGAACATACTGTTGATATGAAAAAGAGGCTTTTTCCTTATGACTTAGTTCATTTCTATGGTTAACTGCAAATGTCTTTCTTGTGAATTGCTAAAATGAAGTACAGCATTCTCCATTTTAGAGCTGCTTATCTTCAGTCCTTATTACTGTGCCTGCTGGCTAAAACTCACTTTTTTCCTACTAGATCTAAAGGTGTACCTGTTTATTTGTGCTTGTACATTGTTGCCTCTGTGCTTAAGTGGTGGGAGGGGCTTGTATAATGAAAGGGGAGGCCTGAGACCTATTTCTGACCAAAGGAAAAGGTACATGGTTACTAAACCAAGTCTACTATGTCCCCCTTGAATAATGATACACTATTGAATATGTCCAGTACTTCAAATAAATAAATACATGAATAAATACTTCCATACTTCTTTGTTGTCTAGCTGTTTGGGAAGACAGAACCAATAATCATTTTCACAGTACCTATGTTCATCTTGTCTTTGGGGCTTGTACCATTGATGACTCTGTTGCTCTGTCTGGGGTTCTCTTTTCCCCAGTATCAGTCACTCTAGCTCAGGGGTGGGAAATTATCTCAGGCAGAGGGCAGCTTACCGAGTTTTGGCAAGCCATTGAGGGCCACAAGGATAGCCCCACCCCTTGACAGGTGCCCCCCCCTTGTCACTGTCTTGGGACCAGAAGTCCCACCTATAGCTGACCTTTGCCACTAGAAGTCCCTTCCCTTGCCCCCCCAAGAAGTACCCCTTTCAGCAAGGGTTGGAACAAGAAAAATACTAAATTATATTCTAAAAATCAAACATCTACTACAACATTCATTTAATTTGATTTCCAAAAATATTTTTGTCCTGATTTGCATGTTTTTGTGTTGTGCACATAGAGGTGCTTGTACAATAGCTTAAAATGAAGTCTTACTCTTGTATATTATGGAAGGGTGTGGGTGGATGGGTATCAGTTTGTGGGTGTGTGGTTATGTGGGGTGTAGGGGAGGGTGTGGGTGTGTGTGTGGATATGTGGTGTGGGTGGGTATGGGGTTTGTGGGGGCAAGTGAGTGTGTGTGGGGAGAGTTGTGGCATGTGTGAAGAGGGAGGATTTGTCCATAGCCAGTGCTCCTGCCAGCCTGGACTCCACGCTCCTGCTGCTCCTGTTTCTGTATTCCAGCTTATCTTGACTCCAGGGCTTCAGCGCAGCCCCATGCTCCTACTCACAGCCACTTCCCCCCATCTGCCACCACTGCCCTTCTGTTGCATCCCCAATTTCCCCCTCCCCCCACCCCAGCTCATCGCTCCAGCACCACGTTCCAGCTGCACAGCTGAGACGGCAGGACACAGAAGGAGCTGGACAGGCCTTGCCAGCACTGCACAGAGCCAACAGAGAATCTCAGGGGCCAGGTTGCCTCCTGCTGTTTCCTGCAACCCAGTGCTGCATCTGGGAACCACATGGTACCGGAGCAACTGG